AGGTGTCTTTGGGTAGTTTGTGTGAACTTTAGTGCCTCTTTGTAGGGGAACATAATGTCACTGAATCCTTTGGGAACAGGTTTTGTTGGGAATAACTTGTACTATATACTTGGGAATAACTTGTAAATAAACTAAAGGGTGGTCTCTGACCTTTGCACAGTAATGGAAGGGGTTTGAGTTTTAACCAAATAAATGTGCAGGGTTTTGAATTAATAAAATGTCTTGTGAAACGATAACTGCAGTATTTAAAACTTGGTGTGTTAATGATCCAAGGGCATTTCACAAAACTCTATTTAAAATCAAATCTATAAAATACACATAACATGCTTTAGAAATATGAAGAGACTGTACATGACAGTGTAGGATGTTGACTTACATATGTCTGTTAGCAGGAGCAAAATCTGAAAACACAAAGAATAAGAGAATAACTCTTTTCACCGTCCTTAAACTCTATATTGAGATGGATCATTTTTAAACGGTTTCAAAAAGTAATGCACACACAAAGACACATCAGCTACCTCCAGTGAGTAGACTGACCCACTGGTGTTCTCTACCAGACTGGATTGCTCCACTTCTCTTTTTGTGGCTGCAGTCTTCCTCCTCTGTCCCGTTCCCTTGGGCCCGGTGCTAATAGCAGACAGGCTCTCCGCTCACCCAGAACCAGGATGCCACAATGTAAACATGTCATAAACCCAGCCACACAGTATTTTGGTGCCACCTCCATCCCTCAGCACTGGATGTCCTCAGAGTGCACTTTTTTAACACCTGAAATAGCAGGGCCCAAAGTTTTGCTACACGTTTTTATAACCTAACAATTACTCTGCATTGTAGTCCATGTAGTTACTGAATGATAAGCCTTAGCATGTCAAAGCCTGGGATTTTTAAGGGTAATATATTTATAATATTTAATAATAACTAATATTAGTCTAGAACCAAGCAAAATTACATGCTAATTGAATAAGAATTTAGAAAAAAGGCATGAAATTGGTTAGTCTTGTAATAGTCTTGTCTCTTACAGCAATTTTATAATGCGAACTGCTGCAAACAGTGAAAAGTATTCGCCCCCTCCTGATTTCTTCTGTCACACTTACCAAAATTTATTTTAAGTCGAAGACAACCTAAATAAATACAGACCAGTTTATAAATGCTCATTTACTTAAGGAGAAGTCCAGCACAAGCTGGCTCTGTGTGAAACAGTAATTGTCCCCTTAATTACTGGGCTTGTTTAAGATTAACTGTTCCTCACCTTGGTGAACGTCAGGAATTGCTAGTTATATACTCATATATATAAAATAATGTTTATATATATATATATATATATATATATATATATATATAGATATATGTGTGTGTGTGTGTGTGAGAGAAAAACAAGGTGATTGAAATCCATGTCTGAGAGAGAATGTATTTCACAGCTTAGATTTCTAGATCACAGTTCATAACAGTACTGCATTCAAATTGCCAAGGTGTACAGCTGGCAATTGCAGTACTCACACCATAAATATGAATATTTCCTACAAAAAAAAATGTCTTTCCTTTGCTTTATTTGCAACAAATAACATAGTAGGGAATGCAACTATCACAGTTTTTCTTCCTTGAAATGTGTTCTTGTTCTTTTTCGCCTCAAGTTATGCTAATATAAACAGTATCACCTGTCCTTTAAAGATATACCATTACAGTATTTTTTAGTGAAGAGGAAATTCATTCATGAGGTTCCATCAAACATGCACATTGTGTTAAAAAAAAAAGTTGTTAAACAACAAAACATTGGATTATAGAAAAACATTATCATTCTAGGTTGCGTTGACATCCATAAAGAGAAAATGTATAGCCTTTTTGTGCTTATCAATTCAGTGTATGAAAGGTTTTGCCTCAGGGGTCCGATTCTCAAAAGCAGACGAGATACACCAGCTTCCCAGCCTCACTGTAGTTGAATTGGGCCTGCTAGTCTAGTTAACAAAGTATCTGTTCGTACAAGCTAAGGCTTCAGCCTAATTCTAAGATACTGTCCATAGTCCACATCATAGTGTCAATGGTTTTACAACAACCACAAATCAATTCATTCACGTTTATTTCATTGCTTTTGTTAGAAAACTTATGACTGCACACTGTCATCCATAGACATATCACATGTGCTTACAAAAAAAGGTAGGCCTATTTAATACCTATATACTGATTATTATGGGCTGATTTAATGATAATGTATGCCACTTCAAAAAAAGGAAAAGTATAAAAGAGCATAACAAAGAGGTTTTTTTTTCATTTACTGCTGCCCTGCATGATGGAGCTATTCTCTAAGAACAGAGACGTTATTGAACATTATATTGAACCTCATATTGTACAATATATTTTCATACTTATTTATGATTATGATTGATACCTGTGTTCGTCTGTAGGTCAAACGTCAGTCAGTTATATAACTAACCTACATATACTTTTAATACTTTTAATGCTGGTAGCATTTTCTGATATGATCATTAAGGCCTGTGGTTTTCAGCCCTGGTGTACACCTTAAGGCCTGTGGTCCTGGAGTACACCCTGCCATGCACATCTTAGTGTTTCTCCTGCTCCTAGCACACCTGGTCCAATTAATCAGTTCATTAACAAGCACAGTTTTATGTAGGGAGTGACATATAAATGTACAATGCAGTAAGACATTTTAATAAGGTGGGTTAATTTGCCAGAACACTGGCTTTTTACGTGAACATGGAGAGCCGACTCTCACTGAAGAGCTTTTTAGGGAGAAAAAAACGAATGGGCAGATCTTATGTATGGCAACATATTCTGGACTTGTTTCAAATTCAAATGCAAAATTTGAAAATGCTAATTAAATTGTGTATTTATAATTGCATTTCCCATGAGTGTCCATCATTAAATAAGTATCTCAAATTCAAATGCCAAATATGTATTTGCATATTTGTATATAATGTATAATGTCTATATAGTGTATAATGGCTGGAAAAGATTAAAATGGAAAAGCAAAGTCTTTTTGACATTTTGTTTTTGTTCTCTTAATGGTGTAACTATGACATATTAAAAAAATAATCACAGTTGCCCATTTACAATTGCAATATCTTATCGTTTTGCCTGATTAGCGAGTGTTAAAATGTCACTCGCAGCAGTTGCTAATGCTCCAGTGCCTCTAAAGTTTAGACTTTATCACTTTCTCTTAAAACATGTGCTGTGAAGTCCTTAGTTTGTTAGTTTGTTTCTGGTTTTGTTTTTTTGGCAGTTTTCACACAGTTCTTTGCTGCACTTCAAATTGTACCTTGTTAGTTCTGCTGATTTTTGATTTTGACCTGCCTTGTTTGTTGATGACTCATGGATTTGCCTGTATTTTGCCCATTTGCCTATTCTACAATCCCTGCCTCTCTTAACTACTTTTCAGTATTGGATTTAGTCAACTTTTTTTATTAAATAACAAACCTAAAATGCGATTGTTGTTAATTAATTATAAGCAGTCCTTTACAATACACAAAAAGTAACGTACTCAGAATATAATTAGAATATATATTGATAAATCACATGAGGGAAACTTTTTTACTTAATTCACTGTTGGTAGTTAGCAGTTTTCCTTCTGATTCTTTTGTTAATATGTTTTGTGGAAAATAAGCTTATCATTTAAATGAAGTTCTTTCAGTGTATGCTTGATAAATTTAAGGCAAATGTTGAAAAGTGGAAATGACTTCCTTTGTCAATGGTGGGACACATTAATGCAATCAAAATGGTGATGTTTCTAAAATTATTACATCTTTTTCAGAACCTTCCAATTTATTTGCCTCTTTCCTTTTTTAAACAGTTATACAAAATTATTTGGTTATTTCTTTAAGCCTTGTATTTCGAAAGCTTACATGCAAAACCCCACTGTGGCTGGGGGACTGGGCTTACCAGTGTTTAAATACTATTATTGGGCGGCAAATGCCAGGGCTCTGGCTTTTTGGCTGTAGGAATCTCCAGCTCAGACATGATTGGATCCATTATGGACTAAGTTGGAGGCCTTTTCTCTCCCAGGTTCCTCTCTTCCAGTGTTGCTTTCAACAAAAAAGAAATCTATTAGGGCTGTTGTAGGCAACAATTTATACTTGAGCCGCACTTTGGATTCTTAATCGGATAAGGTGTTTTACTAAAGCTCCATCAACGTCTATCTATACTCCAATTTTACACAACAACTTATTTCAGCTGGATGGGGCATTCTCTGTCTGGATGGACAAACGTTTACAGTGTATTGGGGACTTTTATGTAGATGGGAGATTTGTCTCTTTCAACCAGCTCTAAGAATCCATATGTTCAATAACAAGCCTCAATGGCTGGTGTGGTTGCAGCTAAGAAGGTTCTCCACCATGTTTCAAACACTGACTATCAGAGATGCTTTATATTATTACAATGAAAAGTTTGTATAGCTATGACCCAAGTTGGGGTCCATTTTGGACCATCTTAAGTGACCCTCGGTGCCCTTTTAGTTTCCTTCTTTATTCTCTTTCTGTCTCTCTCTCTCTCTCTCTTTTTTATTTATACTTAATGGGTGTTTGTGTTAGGGTCGGGTGTTGGTGGAGTTTGTGTTTTGTATTGTTGCTTTTTGTATCGATTTCTGTATTCTAAATATGTATTTCTAATATTTGTATTCCACTACATCCCAACCCAGGTTATAAGGTAGAGAGAGGTTTAATTGGAAGTTAGAAGATATCGCTAACTTGGCTAATTGTGAGAACAAAAAACTTACAGTGTCAAGTTACTAGATGAAGAGCCGTTTGGGAGCCGATTCTTATTTGTGAGCCGAGCCAAGTGAACTGACTCACTAAAAAGAGCCGGAATACCAGAGACGCTATAAATGAGCTATATAATGTCCTATTAGGACTTTGGGAACGCTCACCACTGTTTGCATTACATGTCGAACGGAGTACCGCGTTCGGAACTTCAATACCCATAACCGACTGAGAGAACCAATGAAGTCTCTCTATACTCGCAGGCCTGTTCTCTTCAACAGCAGCCTGTCCAATCAGAATCGTTGCTGTTCACCCGGCTGCGCATGCTCATAACGCCCGACCGTTCATGCGGCTGGTCCGTGGGTTTCTCTGGAGGTCACAGTGAAGCAGAGCGCGGGTGAGTTGGAGACTTTTAACCCAGAATTGTTATAGATATACTTCTTATGTATTGGTTAGCCGTGTTCACATTTTTGTCCTGCGTTTCTGTTCCGCCCTGTTTTTTCCTAAAGCTGAGCTGGGAATGACAGAACTGCGATTGCGTGTTCGTTGCAACAGCAGTAGGTTAGCTAGTTAACCAACGTTGGTACCTAATGTTAGCTAACTAGTATTAGTTGAGTTTGAGTTTTAGTTGCAGCTAAATAATTTTTTCCCTGTCATTTTTTTTTATTAAGAAGGCATAATATCCTCCCTAGCTTTCTTCCTAACGTGCAGTTTACTGTCTATCTCTCTAGACCGGGACAAAGTAGCCTTCATGCTCCGCATTAACGTTACAGCACACAAGGCCTCTAAATGGTGCTCACATTTGTCACACTTGACGTTTCTCTCCTTGAACAGTTGACAGTGTTTTGTAGAGATAACATGACTGGACACGCATATTTCCCTTAATGTTCCTGTTTGATTCTCGAGACACGTGTAAGCAGCACATTTCTAAGCTCCTGAGAGAGGCTCATCCAAGATCAGCTCGCACTTCGGCCTCTCTGGAAACTGCATGATGCAATCTCTTCTTTTCCTTCACATCACACTGTAATATCGTGTGAAAATTAAAGTCTCTTTTCTTTTCAGAGCTGTCACTCTGTTGCCATGGCAAAGCTGTTCGAGTCGATTGGAAAATTGGGATTGGCCTTGGCCATAGGAGGGGGTGTGGTTAACTCTGCCCTTTTTAATGGTAAGTGGATTTTCAATTGAATCATTGGCTCTTTTTTCAGACCTGTGCTGTTTCAGTTGCTTACGTGTGGATTAAGAGCCTTTGGTTCAGCACCATGACGTTACTGTGCTCACCTTGCTGTGTGTAGGCAATAAGACACGTTCCTCCTCTGTATTATCACACATTCTCTGTAAGAAGTTGTACTCACGAGTCACGATAAATGACACATGTGAAAAAAGGCCTGTAGAGGCTGGTGAGCACGGCCATGCCAGGAGGATCATGGGGTTGCGCACCCTCTGGAAAGGGACTTATTGTTGCTGTTAATTGACCTCCCCCATAAGTTTAATGCTTTATATGTGCCTTTCTGCCCTGGTGTTTAATAAAGAACACTTCTTGTGGTGGAATCATGGCCTCTCCAGTGTCTTACTCTACACTGACACTGCAGTATTACATGTTAACCCCTTACATGCTGAGGACATGACCTCCTGATCCAGACTCCCATTCCTCTTTCCTGTAATTTCAGTGTGAATCAGAATCCTAAACACTGTATCAGGGAGGCCCTCTAAGCCTGCTGAGTGTTTTCTTTCAGTGATTGGGGGGGATTCAAAGATTATGGGAAAACAGAACGTTTGTCTTTTAAATGGCATGGTATGATGAATTCTGCTTAATTTGGCCAGGGATATGAACTATTAAGGTACAAAAGGTCAGTTTTGATTTCAAGTTTACTTGTTTAGGAAATACCCAATCATTTTTATGTAATTACTGGAAAATGAAACTGGCAAAACCTGATGTTTTAATTTCTGGTCTATGCTGTTTGATTTTGATAACCTGTACTCTGTGTGTGTCCTGCAGTTGATGCTGGCCACAGGGCAGTCATCTTTGACCGGTTTCGAGGAGTTCAGGATGCCGTGGTTGGGGAAGGAACACATTTCCTGATACCCTGGGTACAAAAACCAATCATTTTCGACTGCAGGTCCCGTCCACGCAACGTGCCTGTCGTCACTGGAAGCAAAGGTAACTACTGTCAGAAAGAGACTGAGGTTCATGATCTTGACCTTGAGGGGTCCAGTCATGGTCTTGTGTACCCCTATAGTTTATAAGAGAATGTCCTTGCTCAACTCCATTTTGGTCATTAAGAATTTGTGGATAATTATTATGTAGTTATATTTTATTACAATTGCTTAATGGCTTTGGCATGGTGTTGATTTATAGCTGCAAAGCTGTTGTAAGCTGATTTGCTTGTAAAATTAACAGAAGATGCATCATTTAAAAAATGTGCACCAGGATATTTGTATTTTGTTTGTGTGTGAGGGAAGTACAGTATATAGTCAGATATTAGATTTTAAAAACCCCTGTTTTTTGCTGATTTTTGAAGTGAAAGGTTAGCACAGCCTCTACAGGGAACTTTAAATATGGCATTTCCTGCTAATTTTAGTGTAGAGCACGTGTTAGCACGCTTAGAAAATCAGCAAACCATGCAATTTGACCAGGGGTGTTCAAACTTGCATATAATTGTATGTAACATGCGCAGTGTTGATGGGCACACACTCAAGTTTAAGGTGGTTCTTTCTAATCTTTCTGTATCCCAACTTTGATTACGCTCAATTAATACTATATTCCCCTTTATCTTTTTTTTTCCTTCAGATCTACAGAATGTTAACATTACGTTGAGAATTCTGTTCAGGCCAGTAGCAACTCAGCTGCCGAGGATTTTCACCAGCATTGGTGAAGACTACGATGAAAGAGTGCTCCCCTCCATCACCACTGAAGTGCTGAAGGCTGTTGTGGTGAGTCGTAGTAATGTTCAGTTTAATTAGTTTACTAAAGTGTTTGTGATTTGTTTTTTTACTGTCCATTTAAAATAATTAAACTCTAAACAATTAATTGACTCATAATTGAACTATTCTTATATTTTCCATATACAGTATATCATCTGATGTGTGATGCTTCTAAGTACTAAAGGATGCAGAATGCACAAATACATGATAGAAAAAAAAGATACACATCAGTAAAGTTTCAGTTACATTTATGAATCAGTTTGACCGTTTTACTAAGAAGAATGATTTGTTAATGAGTAGTGTAACAATTTACAAGTATATAAACCTGTTGCTGTTTCTCTGTGTGTGTGTTTGTGTGACCCCAGGCCAGGTTTGATGCAGGAGAACTGATCACTCAGAGAGAGCTGGTGTCCAGGCAGGTCAGCGAAGATCTGACTGAGAGAGCATCCACATTTGGCCTTATTCTTGACGACGTCTCCTTGGTAACCCTTCCTTCTCCTCTATGTCTTGTTTACTTCTTTCGCACTCCACAGTCATTGCAAGCTGAAAGATTAGAACATCTAAAGTAATTCTTCGTTCTTCTCTCCAGACACATCTGACGTTCGGCAAGGAGTTCACAGAGGCTGTTGAAATGAAACAGGTGGCCCAGCAAGAAGCTGAAAGAGCAAGATTCATTGTAGAGAAGGTAAGGCAGAGCTTTAACCTGAGAACATTATCCTATTTAAGGTCTGTTTCACTTGCGAACCTTACTAAGTTTTCTGCAAGTATCGCTTTTTTGCACGTACAGTTACAGTCCACGTCTCTTTCTGCGCTCTCGTCTCACACCATTATATATTTATCAGGAATTGATAAATGTGATTCCTCCTGTTCCTCAGGGATTCCTCAACTGTGATTGTTTTTTTTGCCACAATCCTGATACAAATTATCTGAGTATCTGTCAATATGGAGTTCAATCTGATATACAGCCCTGTACAAAAGCCCTGGACAAATAACATGCTCTGTTGATTTTCTAGGTGAAAATAAGTGAACACATCCTCTACAGAGAACACACTTCTGCAAATTTTAGTCCACATTTACTGTTTATTTGCTGAATGTAACATTTTAGGGAGAAAAGAAAAAAAAAGTGACATACCAAATTTATGGCATGTTTTAATATATTAAATTCAGCAAATAAACAATAATTGTGCTCAAATATGCAGAAAATTGCCATATTTACATTATTACTGTAGAGGATGTGTTAACTTAATTTAACTTAGGAAAATTAATAAAACATGTAATTTAACCAGCAGTATCCAAACTTTTGCCTAAGACTGTAGCTGCACACACTAAACTTGGTAAAACCAATTTAAGTTGACATGAAACATTTTAGCAAGTGACACTGTGCTAATTGGTGTTTTCCCCCCCCCCACAAGTTGTGGATGATGTCAATTTATGTCACCTTACAGCAGTGGTGTGATTGAAGCATAAAATTGCCTTAAGATTGGACCAGAATTTGATCAGGCTTAATTTAGCCTGTAGTGTGTTAATAAAATATGCCTTGACTGGCTCTAATTTGTAGTTTTTACTAGAGCTGGCACAATCCAGTACCAGGTATCAGTATCGAGCCAGTACTGTATGATGTAATGTTAGCTGTGTATTTCCTTTGGGGTAGTAGAGTGACTGAGTAGTTTGAGCATGATTGTAGGAAAGCCTACTTTTAATCTGTAATCTTAGTACTTCAATTACAAGCTTGGTATTTAAAAAATTAACAAAAAAACAAAACTATCTTTCAGCCAATACTCAAGGTTTCAATGTTGGTATCAGTATTGGAAAAGGAAAAAGTGATCAAGCTGATTTAAGTGTCTCTTTCACAGGCGGAGCAGCAGAAGCAGGCAGCTATCATCTCGGCAGCGGGCGACTCGCAGGCTGCTCTGCTGATCGCTAACTCTCTGGCTGAGGCAGGAGATGGCCTAGTAGAGCTGAGGAAGCTGGAGGCGGCTGAAGACATCGCTTTCCAGCTCAGCCGCTCACGCAACGTCACCTACCTGCCCTCAGGACAGGGCACACTGCTGCAGCTGCCTCAGTGAGACACAGCCACACAAACACAGACACACACTCACATGCACGGCCTCTCTGCCAAAGCTATGGCTGCCTGATGAGGAACGCATGAAGGAACTGACCCACATCTGAAAAGGCTACATGCAACTTGTTGAGAAATGGCCAAGTCTCTTGTTTTTTTGTTTTTTTTTGTGTTGCTGGCTCTGGCTCTCTATGGCTGAAATTATGGACTGCCTCAGAGTGTCTACAGCAGTCGGAGAGGGGAGGTGGTTGTTGTGAGGGTGGTCCGACAGCGTCTGTGTGTGTTTGTGTTTAATGGTGAAATATAACATGTTATATGACTGTATAATGGCTAAAGCACTAGAGTCTGATTGAAACAGTGTAACCCCAAAATTGCATATTGATTGCACTGGGGCCTTTTAGATATTAAAATGAAATATAGTTGAAGTCCAGATACAGTTTGGCACAATCAGGTTTCATCCTGATTATCTTCAAACTCCTGCAAGTGAGAAGTTGTTAGCCATCTGTCATATTTCTCTCTACATTGACTAGCCTGACCATGTTGCTGTTTTGTTTGTATTGTTTTTCTTATTGTATAACTGAAGAGGAGTATGGATTGCCCTTGCATTCCACAACCGATAAACTAATAATTATCAATAAAACCATTTCTGTTCAAGAGAAATAAAACTGTGTCAAATTAATAAATTGTAAAAATACCAGAGCTCCAAGGCTGACGGCTGTTTAAAGAGGTGGGAGAACAGATACCTGGGCTAAAGCTAGGCCAAAAATCACACAATAGGTTTTTTCTATATTTGATAATAATAATTATTGGTATGCATTTCCCTATGCTAAAACATAAATCTGAAGGACATGCTTACTCTGGTGAAAGTACAAAATGATCAAATATAAATAAAAGTTTACATTTTGAGGACATTGTACTGGGTTTTACTTTCAACATGTGACACATTGCAAACTTTTAAAAGTCAACAAAAATAAGAATAAGTCAGTAAAGTTGCCGCAGGGGTTGTGTGGCTGTTTCATTGTTCTAAATATCAGCAGTGGTAATGGTTTGCAAACTGCTGTCACACTTGTTTGTGCTGTTGCAGTAGAACTTCTAGACTTTTTCCTTTCCTAGTGTATGAAAGCAGCGATTGTTCCAAGTTTGTTTAAAGTTCAAGCCTTTGTTGCCAGATTGAGGAACAGAATGGCATAATCATTTTATCAAAAATACATAACACATGCATCAGTGCTAATAATACAGTTGATGTTGATGATTATTGTTATAGTTCTATCGTCAAGCTGTACATTTTATTCTTTCTCCTTATCTAACACTTCTGACACTTCTGAATTATTACCAAACACTTAATGAGGTTATAATGAGCACCTTAGAACAGTACCCTGCAGGGCTACAGGACCAGGACTGGAAACATTAATCTATATAATGTGTTGCTTTAACTGCAACATTATCAAAATTTACTCATATGAAGATGAAGTGTTATTTTTATTAATGAGTAATAATCACCAATGACAATGTAAATATGTTTGGCATTTGCTTTGTGTAAGATAAAGTTACAATTTCTGAAGCAACACTGTACATCTAGCAAACTGTGAAACCAAATTCTTGGTGGCTGAATGGCAGGTGTCAGTTACAAGACAAATGTATTTTTTAATGCCTTAAACAAACGAGACCATCTAGAGAGGAGTTGCAGTCATGCATACCTTGCGGGCAATGCTTGTTGCACTTCACCCTCTGGCTATGTTTGGCCCATTGTTCTGAATGACTCTCCTCTATTTGTAATGTGCATTAATTTCTTCAGCCAGTAGATGGCCTCAGCACCCATTCCAATTACACAACCACACACCTGAGACACTACAGGTCACCTCATCTCTGTCCTTATATCCTTTTTAGCATGTATATATTTTTTTCATTAAATGGCCTGTAAATTTGTATTAATAAGCATTTTTCATCACAGTGATCATATGAATATTTAAAATTGCATACAAACGTTTGAACGCCTCCAGTTAGTTAACATATTTGGTTGATTTCCTAAGTGAAAATAAGTTAACACACCCTCTACAGGGAACGAACTTAAATATCTGCAAATTGTAGTGCGCAATTTCTGTTTATTTGCTGAGTTTAACATATTGAAAAAAATATACAGTGTCCCATACGTTTTGCACAGGCCATAATTTGTTTAGTTTATTTCCCAATATGTTAAATTCAGGAAATAAACAGTATTTGTGCCTTAAAATGTGCAGAAGTGTGTTCTCTGTAGAAGATGTATTAGAAAATCAACAAAATGTAATATGACCAGGGGTGGCCAAACTTTTGCATTCAATTGTATTTATAAGATGTTGAAGAGGATAATGAGGATAAGAATGTTTAGATGCTGGAAATGTATTTTGAACTGTTAAAGCTTACTGGAGCTGTTTTTATTTTAATTTATATATATATATATATATATATATATATATATATATATATATATATATATATATATATATATGTATGTATATATATATATATATATATATATATATATATATATATATATATATATATATATGTATATGTGTGTGTGTGTGTATGTATGTATATATATATATATATATATATATATATATGTGTGTGTATGTATTATATCTATGGGAAAACATCTATATATGGGGGAAAATTTATATATATATATATATATAAATTTTCCCCCATATATAGATGTTTTCCCATAGATAGAGCTTCATTTTTTTAGTCTGCTTCAATTGAGCTGTCCCAACACAATACTTCATAGCACAGGATGTCAGTGTCTCTTTCCTGTTTGGCACAAGCTTACACACCACACACACCTTTGTGGGTGCATTACTCAGACTGAAAGAATTTCAGTTTGAGACAAATACATAATTGTATTGACATTAAATCACCAAAACTGCATCTTTGTGAAGCTGTGGACATGATGACTAAATGCACACTCAGGCCTTTATATCAGAGCATGTTCCTTATAGTTCAATATCAGTAATAAAAGAAAGCAAAATTGAATAAATCAAAGTCAAAAGTTTTAGACAATAACCCAGATAAATATAAAGGATAAACACAAAAAGAAAGGTAGAGACGCAGTATGGTACAAAAGTCAGAGACCACCCTTCCTTTATTTAAAGGGCCTGTATCTTATATTTTTCCCCTGTGGTCCACTTATGGCAAGTATGTGGTTTTATATACCAAAAACAGTGATACTTAATTCATATATAAATAAATTTATGTACATACACACACACACACACATATATATATATATATATATATATATATAAACCTCAAACGCTAGAGGGAGCTCCCGAGCAAGTCCAAAATGAATGATGCAGCATTTTGAGTAAAATCATAGTTTAAAAATGCTTACACATTTTTAATGTAAAACAATACATTCAGTATCTGAACACACAACAGCATAAAAACATTTTAACACTGCTGTTATATTTTTGATCGCTTTTAAACTTGAGTTATAGGAGTTTAGAAAGGTGCCTCATGTACGTTGATGACGCCTGTGAGTGCCAACAGCCAATGAGCTGCTCCGCTTGCCAACCGATCAGCACTCAGTAGCAGTAATGCTAGCGTCCTGCTGCCCAAAACCCATTTTGCTGTAGAAAAAAGAAAATATGTAGGTAAGCATTCTTTGCATTTTTAGTGAAACACATCCTTCTACTTTCTTTTTACTTTAATTTTTCGTTTTTAGCCATTGAGCTCCTTTCACTCCCACTCATTGAGGACTGGCTTGCGGGCACCCTCTGGTGATTTGCAGTCATGTTTTTGATATAACAGGGAAACAGGAGGTGGTCAGGCTCCTCATAAACTGACTCTGGTGACACGTCCGCCAGTGGCAACGTTTTGCAGACCGAAGGGGTGAGCGGAATGATCCATCAAGAGATCCATTTTCCCAACTTTGGCTCTCAACTGCAGTAGTAAAATAAACCAGATGTTGATTTTTTGGGAGCCATGGATGCCAAATGTCCTGTTAAATTTCATACGAACTCAGTGTCATACAACAAAAAAGACTACAGAGTGTCCCCCTGACTTTTTCCACCCTAAACAAACTGCTAAATCTCTCCTCTGACAGTGATCGATTTTCACCGTCACCAGTCACCACGCCATTATTTTCAGTGATGGCGTCTGTGAACATGTCAGATCTTATGAGAGCAGCTTATTACACACCTTTAAATTCTGGTTCATTAGGTGGTAAAAATCGTTTGAAACAGGCTGTTTTAGAGGATGAAGGTGTGCGTCTGTCTGATCAACAGGTTTCAGATTGGTTAGCTGGTGAGGACGCATACACGCTTCACAAACCCATATGGCATAATTACAAAAGAAACAGGGTTATAGTATACAGTATTGACTCAATTCCAAGCCGATCTTGTTGATATGAACGCATATTCTAAGGAAAACGATGGTTATAAATATATGGTGACATGTATTGACGTATTTAGCAAAAAAAAAGGTGGGCGATGTTGTGAGAATTTATAAAGTCAGGGGTCCATTTGCAAAGGGTTACTAGGAGAACTATACACATGAATTTTTCACATGAATTTCAGAGTGTATCCCTCATCAACCACCTGTTTATAAATTGAAAGATTATGTTGGTGATGTTATACAAGGTAGTTTCTACGAAGAAGAGTTGCAAAAAATAAATGTGCCTGGAGATAAAACATTCAAAGTTGAAAAGATTTTAGAGAAGACAGAACAGGGTAAAAAAAAATATAGTTTTGGTGAAATGGCTGGGATGGCCTCCCAAATTCAACAGTTGGATTCCTGAAAAGGATGTGGTGGATATACAAAAGCCTTAAAAGATGTGTCGCTTTTGTGAATGCATTCATTACAACAAATGACAAACATGGGTGACAATGGTTTTTGCATTACTTTGCCATGCAATTCATCGATGTCGGTATACCCCGACAATCAAATTTCTAATTACAGAACAAAACTGGCAAAACCAGTTGGTTTAAAAGGTGACTGGGAAGTGGGTGTTTTAGAGTTTCAGTACCCGTGGACGTGGAAAACATTTGATGAAGATGACGCAACATTTATGGTGATCGATAAAAATGCTTTAAAAATAACAAAAATAAAATTACCTATTGGATATTATAAAGACATACCCATGTTGATTGATGAGATCAATTTTAAACTGTCATCAGATTCAGTATTTATTGATTACGATCAAATAAGGCACAAGGTTTTTATCAAGACAAGACCTGGCTGCTACATTTTACTACATATTTACTACTACATTTTAGACCTGTAAAACAACCAACTGGGTTTTAAAATGGATGCATTCAATGCACACGCTATGGACCCTGAACGCTATGTTTCTTACTACCAAAATCAAGCGGGCGGTATCATGCCTGGTTATGCAGGTAGTCCAGCTATGTACGAAGCCGGATTTGGCGGAATGTTTAGAAATTTGTTCCGCATGGCAATACCATTGTTCAAAACAGGGTTTAATATAGCTAAACCACATCTAAAAACAGCTGCTAAAAACATTGTAAGCGATATTGTCAGCGGTGGTCTTACACAAGTAATGCGAAACAACCAGGATGGATCAGGCATGCTAGTAATGGCACGAACATTTGTTAAACGACCCCCTGGAAAGAGGCGTGGTTGACCTGCTAAGAAAACCAAGCATGAGTTGAAAAAACACATAGATTCAAAAAGGAAAAGAAAGGGGAACCAGACCAAACGAACACCACGAAGAAAGGCTATCAGTACTATTTTCTGAACATGGCTCTACTTCATCGCATGTCTGAAGAATGTATAAAGTCGGAACTAGACTTGTTCACAGTGCCTTTAACACAAACATCACTATCGAGAAAAACACTATCAAGAAAAACACTTATGTAGAAATTCCACTGCTTTCAGCAATATCAGACACAGCCCCTTTGGAATTTTTTATAGCCGGCCATGGTGAAGATTATACGGATCTGAATAACATTCTCTTGTTCCTTCGTGTTAAAAGCACAAAACCTGATGGAAGTGACATCGATGACGGTGCTGCTGTGGGGTTGATAAACTATCCAGGAGCCACAGTATTTTCACAGGTCGATGTGTCCCTAGGTGATCAACTAATATCCAATACCTACCCATACCGTAGTATCATAGAATGTCTTGCGAATTATGGTCGGGATACCTTGGAAACAGCTTTTTCTGCTGGACTCTTTTATCTGGACACTGCTGGACATATAGATGAGACAAACCCCATTAGAAACAATCTACGCTTGGCAAAGAGGGCTGCATTTACAAATGCTAGTAATGTGGTAGAACTGCTGGCACCGATTCATAGCGACATATTTTTTCAGGAGAAATTGATGCTTAACAGTGTTGACATAGAAAATACGCATGACCCGTAGTAAGGACGAATTCTGTTTAATGCAACATGATGCGTTAGCTTACAAAGTAAACATTCTCTCGGCATCTTTATTTGTCAAAAAAAGTGTCTGTATCACCAGCTGTAAGGCGAGGTCATGCTCAGGCATTGCTGTCAGCAACAGCTAAATACCCAATTGACAGTTTGTGTAAAAAATTTCTCTATACCAGCAGGGACGAGAGTTTCTAATCAAGAGAATTTGTTCTTGGGAACACTACCAAAGTCTATGATAATAGCAATGGTTGACGATGCTTTCACAGGCGCATACAATAAAAACCCATTTGCATTCAAACATTATGATTTAGACTTTGCTTCAACTACTTGTGGCCAATACTGCATGTTCAGTCAGGACAAATGTTTAATGTGTAGTTTGTAAACCCACCCCACTTTGTTGTTGTGGTTAAAATAAAACAGACAAAAATCTATTTCAGCATTGTGTCATTTATTTACAAAATACAACACAGTATTCAACATCAGTATTCAGCACATCGTTAACAAAATAATACAATTCTAAAACACATAAACAAATATGTACACAACATTGTGAACAATCAAGATACACAGACACACAAACACACACAAAAAAAAGAAGACTTAGAAGTTTAGCCATTTACTTCTGTCAGTAATGGGTGTTTTAAACTTTGGGGTTTCACCGTTGCTATCGGACGATCGTGAAATGTCCCCCCTAGGCGCAGCATAACCAGCAGACTTTTTGTTTAAGAAAACAATTTTTTGTCTTACATGCTTGATTGGTATGGTAGAAAGAGGTATGTTTAAAACAGCAAAAGCCTCTAGAAACTCATCCCAACCTGGCGGTCTACGATCATCGCTAACCCTGTGCGGTGCTGTGAAACTTTTCACTATGTCCAGAATATGCGACCCTGGGACTGGACTTCCATGCAAGACAAATTCACCAAATTCATTCCAGGATGACATCTTTTGATTTAGACATTTTATCTAAAACATACTGAACATTCCTCTTGCTTCGTGAGGGTACATTTCTAAAAACATCAGTGATTACGTCATTTTTGTCATCAGTCTGATCAATGACATTTACATCCTTATTAACATTATCTGCAGGTGGTAATGACAATTAAAGTGTTGGTCTCCATATCACCCTGTTTAGCAATGGTTAAATATCTCTGCAAAACAGCGGCATAAAGCTTGGCTTTCTCATGAGCGTCAAGATCATTCCTACCCAAAATATTTCTAATAGACACATCTAAGTCATTTTCTACAATTTGTCTGATAGTTCCCCGCGAGTTCTCGCTCTTTAACTTATCCAACTGGTGTTGTGCTACCAAAAACATTCTCTTCAAAAACATAACTTCAGTTTTGTTTGTTTGTTATCAAGCTTGTTATAAACGGTATTGCGATGCTTAGCAATGGTAGAAGAAAACCCCCTTTCTGATTAAGCACTTTCCTTTTTTTGTGAAACTCTGCCCCTTTTATCAGCAAATATTTTTATGGCCGTCTTCTTCTTCTTTAACATACAATGTTGCATTGGTGTAAGAGGTATGTTACCAGTAAGCACATTAAGAGCTGTTTCACACAGGGTTAAGATGAGTTCATCAGATGCAGCCTGCAAAATAACACGTCTCTGTGATGGTTTAGCATTAAATAAAAGTTTAAGAAGTGGTAAGTTTCTATATAGCCAGTCAGACATATTGATCTATCTGCGTTTTTTCTGAATATATACACAACAGGATCGTTTGAAAGCAGATCCGTTCTGAGACGAAAGTCTTCAGGAGTCTTTGCTTTATAATCAATCATGAGGTGGCCGAATGGTTGCTTACAGTATTTTGAAAACACTCCATTAAAATTTTGTATTACCAGGGTACATTTGTCTACCTAATACACCAACCTGATTAGTATCTCTAGGGTTCTTAAATAATATGAGGTAGTTTGTGTTTAAACTAATAGTCCTACTAGATTTTCCTTGAAAAAACATTCTGTATTAGGTAAATGGCACTTAAATTTCGGTGATGTACATATTGTGTAAATACCTTTTCCACCTCAGAATTATTCCCGGCATCTTTCAATAATTAACAAATTATTTCTGTTAGGCGATAGTAGGGCATCATTTAGCATTGTTGGTACCCCTTGAACAAAATTAATATTTCTTATTTTCAACATTTCATCATAAGGGGGTTGTCAGCAATTATAAATGTACAATATGTTTTCTTTTTTCGGTGAAACCAACTCATCAGCACGTTTTACGAAACATTTTACGAAAAATGTTTTTCCAGAATTTGATGGTCCACTTATTACGCAGGAAAAAGGGTGTTGTAATCTAAAATCAAAACCATCAACTTCGCGTACACCGCGATAGTCTCGGATGCCTTTAGTATCCATAAGGGAGTGTTGAAAAATCAGACAGCAGAACCCATTTGTTGTACACAACTTTGAAACGTTTCACAACTGACTTGTTTTTCAGAGTGAGGTTCTTTTTATTTCTCACAATACTGTCTGCACGAGCAAGTATGTGACGACTATTATCACGATGAACTACATAATGGTCAACAAGGCCAATGAGAGTGTCGAGTCTAATAACTTTAGAAATTTCAGAATTAAGTGTGATTCCTTTTGCTTTCATGCATGTTTTACCGCCGGCTGTACGATAACCATATGTCTTGGGACCTCTTGAGCAAAATTCTGTAATGTAATCGACACCACCAATCTCGTCAGTCAAATCCCCTAAATAGGGCCCCTAAATAGGGCACAAAAATACACAAAAATAACGCTGTCAGTGTCGCTGTACAACAGTCTGTCACCTAATTTATCCATCAGATTGTACAGTTCTAAACGAGCGTGTGCAGTTGTAAAAGCACCGAGAAACACATTAATGTCACGTGTTGGGCAACTGTCTCCGGCAGAATAGCACCACTGAATCAGTGCTGTGCTGTCAAACACAAAAGAAAAATGTTTAACATTGTATCCATCACCAAAGATGTGTTGTGAAAACTGTTCAGGGTCAGTTAACAGTTCAGACACTGGCAAGTTTTCCCTCATTGAAAAACGGCCCCACAAGCTATTTAACAGCAATTTGTTGATAGATCGTCGTGCTTGGTTAATAACAATAACACTAATCCTGTCAGGGTTCAACTGAATCTTTTCTTTCTCAAAATAATCCCTGATGTACTCTGCCCTCTCTTCCTCAGTGATGGCTTGTACTGGATAACCACTGGCCTCCTGCTTGTACTGTAAAAATGTCTTTACGTAATCACAGAACAACGTCTCTGAACTGTCTGGAAAATGCCAAACCTCATGGATTTTTGCCACCACCTACCCCTGCTCAACAGCCTTCATCAGTTCAGTACTAACCCAGGTCCCTGTGATAAATTTATCTTTATCACTGTGTGTGCAAGTTTGAAGCTGGTTTTCCTGCTCAGCACAAGTACGACAGAGTGGGAACATTAACTTACCATTACAGTGGTATGGTAAAACAGGGTGTAGGAGTTTTCTAGGTGGATGTACAGTTGCTTTAACTAGACCGTAGTACTCCTCAAGAGGTCGAAAATTTTTGAAAAATATTTGAGGGTGACCTATGGGGTATTTCTGTCTAGATTGACAGAATGGATACAAACTAGTAAAGTCCAAATATCTGATTTTCTCACCCTTCTTTGCCTTGTAATACAATTTGTATGCATTGGTTCTACCACCAAAAAGTGCGTCTCTTGGTTCCAGTCTTTCGGGGCCTGTATAGTTAGACATAAATGTCATAACACACAAATCTTCCCTCTTAGCGCGCGCCCACTGACATTCCCACATTACTTCCACATGTAGTTTGTATGCACAAACAAGCATCTCTACCTTGGCGTCAAACTGTTTCCTCAGTTCACCATATAACACCTTTGACATTGGGTGGGCCTGGTTCAGACTGTAGCGACATTCATGACCATGATGCATGCAAGCATTACATTCTAAAGCTTTACGTACAACATCTTTTTCATAATACCCGTCAACATAAAATGCACCAAACTTCATTTCTCCATGAGAAAGTGCGTGGTGTACATCGACATCTCTTGTACTTTTAACATACTCAAGCCATTCAATAGAAACATTTGAGAATGTCTTGTGTTGGTTAATGTACGTGTTATGTGTCAGCACTAATGTGTCTTTGGGTAGAAAACGTGTTTTTTACGCAGCCATGCAACATGATGCTAGTGTTGTACAGTTAAACGGATCCAACTTTGTACATTGAATGAACTCGTTACGATACTTAATACACGCTTCGCGTAGTAAAACGACATCATTCTGGCCATAAATGTATAATTCCTTTTGGAAGTCAAACACACCACCAGAGACTGTGTTGTACCACTCACTGTTTTCTGTCTTTGTCACCCATAGTGTCATAACCGTAAAAACACTTGTCAGGATACTTGCCCACATAGCTTACATTTTTCTTTAGATTAAATTTGTGTGGAAAGCACCCTCTCCAAACATGTTAGATTTAACGCTGACGCTGTTTTAGCCAATCGCATTGGAATGAATGAGTATGGGTCTATGTAGCGTTGTTTGAATGCTTTGTCATACATGGAGATCAGCCTGCACCCCATCACGGTAATTTTGACAGCTATCCCCACTTTAGAAAATATTCCAGTAACAGGAAATTGTCAAATCCAGCAGCATTGTGCGCCAAACATGTGTACCCCGGTATGTAGGTCTTCTAAATTCTTTAACAAGACGCTTTATACAGTCAGACCCTTCAGCTGTGAACTCTCTACCGTCACATGTAATAGCACAGACAAAATTAGCCTCATATTTACCGTTTTCAAATCGTGTCTCAAAGTCAAAAAATATGTATGAATTGCAGGGTTCTTTTAATTTGATTGGTTGTATGTAACATTCATGTGTGGTGTCCGATATTAACTCTTCTCCACAATGAACACAATGTCCTGACACACATCTGTGGGGTTTTGGCTTTGTTAAACTAACATAATAACGGCGGCCACATTTTTTACAATACTTGGTCAGATCACATGAGGACGCCATTACTCCTGTTGTAGGTTGTTGTTTCTGTTTCTTATGTTGAATATAACAGTATTCGGACTTGCAGTAGCGTGAACAGTCGTCGCATTATTTGAAATGTCTGGGGTTCTTGTAACACAACACATCTTGACACACATCGCAACTGTATTTACAACTATGATCTCTGGCACTGGTGTAACCCTTATAACAAAACTCACATACATATGGGACGCCCATGAATGCTTTCAAATTTTTTACCAAGTAATAATGGTTGTCATGAAGATACAGAAACACAGTCTTGGTGTGTTTTGTCTTTTGTTTGATACTTCTCTAAATTACCTGAACTAGCTATGTGGAAAACAACTATTTTAACACCATACTTGTATTCGAAACAGCCAATATCATTAAACCCAACCCTGTGGTGACGTGTGTAGCCAGCATTTGTCTGTATTTGTTCGGCTATGGGTTCTAATGTGTTGTGGGGTGCTTGTGGATTTTGAAAATGAGCGAGGCAGACTGCAAAACACAGGTTATTTGAGATTTTTGTTGGGCAGAAAAGATTCAGTCTATTCCTATCAAGTACCTGATTGTGTGTAAGGTCACGCACCTTACGACGAACACCACCGCTTTTGCTCATCACAATGGAAACAGTCAAAACCAAACTATCGTCTGTTTTAATGCTACTGTTACTCTGTATAACCCGTTCAATAGCGTCTGAAAATCTGTCAACACTGTAACCATCACTTGAAGATAACAAAGCATTTACGTCAGATGTTAAACTACTACCTCTTAGCTTGATATCAATAACACTGCCATCACCACCCAACACTCTGGAGAAAGATACAATGTCTGACAACATACTGTGTATATAGGTTGCATATGAAGCCATATCTGTAGATGGAGCATTACGTAAGTTCAAAGTCCTGTGTAACACAACGCTGTTAAATCTACTTCTAGGCACCACAGTATAATCATCAACAACCCCCCCATTTCTTACTAACTGTGCAATATCATATATATAATGATAAACCAAAGTTAGGAGCCATTAGATCAAGTGATGGGGAACTATGTGTTTGCATGCCAGCGCCTGTCTGTTCTGTGTTTATGTGTTGTGTATTATTTTGTGTGTCACTTTCTAGGGATGCTATAGCCATCACAATTTCATCGTTTAGACTATGTATTTGCTCGATGGTGAACATGTCCCAAGCTTCATATATAGGGTCATTATACACAAAATTGCGGCAACTATCACCGATTCTACAACGTTTTGTTGGTGTGGATTGTGCTGTATGACTTGTATTTGGCGACCAATTGTCAAGTGTAATTTGTAAACTAGCAAGTACGTTATGTAAGGTGTCGGTGTCTTGCTGTTCATTAATAAGTTCATCAATACCAGTCACATACTCATCATTTAGACACTGCAATTGTTCAAGGGGTGACAACTGCCCCCAACACTTACTAACATACTGGTTGTTGTCTGACTCCCAAGACCTATTAGATGCCATTTTATATGTTTAATTTAGAGATTTTACCATTACGTATTTAAAACAACGCTAACGTGTTTACGTTCAAGTTTTGCGCTGATGAGTTAGTTTATTTAAAACTACTGAACACAATACAAACCAGCCGTGACAATGTCAACACAACAATACAAAACAACCTTAAACAATAAAAATAAATAAAAAACAATACAAAACCCAAGCCTTAACCAATAACAAAAAATGACTATCTGGAAGATGGTCCAGGAACAGGAATCCATGGTGATAGTTTTAACTGTAAGAATCTATTTAAATTAAATAATAGTTCTCTTGTTACTTTATCATATTCAGCCTTGTCTTTTATCAATTTAGTATGTGTGTTAAGATCACCAACTATTTTCTGAATAATTATGTCACGCTCCTGAACCGCTTTTTCTAATTTAGAAATTTCTTCATTTAGTTTCACCTTGTCTTTATCACACCGACGAAGAAGAGCGGCTTGTCTACGTTGTTCAATTGACAGTCTTTTTATCTCTTGATTAAGCTGCCCCAATGTTATATTTTCCCCAGAATTATTACATATGGCACAGCGGCCTACCTGGTCTTGGGCTTCATGTTCTTGATTTGACCGCAAATCAGTGTCTCTTGGTTTATTTAGAGTTCCAACTTTTGGTACAGCCGCTGTAGTTTTGTCCTCGTTTTCTGAAAAATTGTTGATGTGCCAGTTGTTTAAAAAGTCTTCAGACCAGCTGGCTACATCCAGATCAGGATCAACTCTGGGTAACACCGTATTCGCACACACCAAATCTGTAGACAGATCAAGTAAAAATACATTTACATATAGTCACTAATGTTAAAATATTGTAAATAGTGTTTAATTTGTATTTTCTTACCAGTTGATTTCTGGATTTCCTCAAGTTCCTTGTTCTTTTGACCCCGCGATGATTCACCTGGGCTGCTTGTAGCGCTGGGGTTAAATCCAACCAATTCGAAATCGTTATGTACTGCAACACGGCGTTCAATTGCTTTAGACATACTTGGGGCAGCGTCAAATCCAGGTGGTGTTAGGAGACCAACCGACTCAACCAAACGGTTCAAACCTGCTACAGAAAACAAATAGTCTGAATTAGTATATCATTTTGCTACAAAATCAAAAATCAAAACATAAACTTTGTCTCACCAAGAGGGTTTTCACAAACCGATGCGCTACCAGTTTCTTTAGAAATGCAAGAAATATTTTTTAATGAACATCAAGAGCTGCAAATAAATAAACAAGTAAGTAAATAATGCTATAAACAAACAGTGACATACCATCAAACAGTTGCTATAAACCTTCAATCAAAAAAACTCATAGTAAGTTTGATGGCATAAGAATTCCTGTTCTAAAATGTCAAGCATCATGTAGTTCCTCTTCTATGGTTTTAAACTGAGTAGGTAATGACAGTGATTTGTGTGACAGAGGATTGGATCCTCTTTAAGCAGATACAGAACTCTGCTCACTCTGTGCACAAGCCATCATGTTGGAACAGGGACTTCCCCAAACCATTGCCAGAAAGTAGCAGTAGTCTAGGATGTCATTGCATGGTATTGCTATAAGATTGCCCTTACTAGAATTAAGGGGCTGAACCCAAACTATGGAAAAATGGTACATACTTACAAAGAAAGCTGGCGTCCACACAGCAAAGCCGTTGACGGTATATGGGCGAATGCAGGTCTTTTTCACTCAAGGCACTCCCCTTACTATGACCTGTTGAATACCTTTGTGTTTGATTGGTTTGGTTGGGTAGCTGTAATGATGGTGTCATGAGACAAAACCCCCTAAGCCGATCCGCCCACCCGACACACACACACACACACACACACACACACACACACACACACACACACACAATGCTGTCTTACCTGTTTTAAAGTTGAAATTAGGCCTAAAAGTGTATTAAAACACTTTTTTAAAAAACATCTATATGGTCTTACAAGTTTTAAAGTTTAAAGTTGCAATTAGGTCTAAAAGTGTATTAAACTCTTGTTTAAAACTTCTATCACACACACAAAGTCGTCTTACTAGTTTTTAAAGTTGAAATTAGACGTTTATTTGTATTAAACACTTTATAAAAACTCTTATAAGACCATATGGGGGTGATGAGGGAGGTGAGGGTGTGTGTGTGGGTGGGTAAAGTGGAGAGAGGGTACCTTGTCAAAGTGTCCAATCTGTCCATCACAGAACCACAAATCAGATGGGTTATAAATCAGAAGGGTCATAAATCAGGTCATAAATCATACATTTGAAAAACAGTATAGGATACTTACTACTTATGTAAATGATTTGGTATTCGTGACATCACAAAACAATTTTTCAGCTTTGCATCCATATATGGACTGAATGGAGTGGAGAACAAATTCTATGTTCTGAAATTTTAACTATGTTTACATATAACATTAAATGCTTTTATTTAAAAAAAAAACAAAGAAAATTCACATTTCTATTATATGGGCCCTTAAATTTTCAAAACTGCCACTAAGTACAAATTATTAATTTTTCCATTAGATATATGATAATCCACTTGCAAAAGGACATAGAAAGTCAAAGGAAAATAAGTGAAAAAACAGGAGTTTAAAAAACTGGAGCTCAAAAAATTATTGAAAGATACAGAGAAGATGAGACTCCTAACAACCATGCAAGACCTGGTAGACCACCAACACATCACCATCAGATAAACAGTAATTAAAGCTTTTATCTTTGAAAGAGAGGAGACAATCAAGCTCTTGCTTCAGATCTGAAAAAAAAGTCCGAAAGGATATATGGCTGTCAAGTAGTCCTTACTGAGAAAAGGAAAAAGAGCATTTGAACTAGAACTAGAACACTGGACATCTGGTCTGACTTTGTCTTGAGAGGTAAAAAATGCAAGCCACTTCTAAGTCTGAACTTCAGAGGTGTGGAAAATATCCCTGCAAATTTCTTTGAAAAACTGAAAGCAAGTCTCCTGAAAACAATAAAAGCAGTAATAAAGACAAAGAGTGCACACCCTCAGTACTGAAAAAGAACTGATGTTATATTTAGTTGTTGAGGCTTCTGTGTAATTTCCTGATGCTAAAAATGAATAACCCGAATGAATAAGCCGTTTTTACTGAAAATTAAATAAATGAAAAGTGGTCTCTGGCTTTTGTACAGTACTGTACGTTTTACCAGGTATATTTGCAGAATCTTTTTTTTGATGAATGATTACCCAATGACACCAAAAACTGCCTATTCACACACACACACACACACACACACACACACGCACACACGCACGCACGCACGCACGCACGCACGCACCACAAAGGGTCAACAGCAGATTGACTGTATATCAGCCATTACAGATATACAGGCAGTAAGGTGCTGTCTGGAATATCACTGCTATTCTTTCTTAGAATGCTGCAGTTCTTGTTTTTTTCTCATGGGGAAATCAGAGCATTCTTAAGGAAGGACAGACTTCACTTATCACACTGAACAGCTGGGGGCAGATATTTGCTTAAGGTTTCCTTTGATGAAATCAGAAACAAAACTCCATCCAGGTGTCTAAATCTCCTTCCTTCTACATGAGTAATCTCTACTCTACCCGAGCTTATGTTTATAACATTGCCTTCAATAACAGGCTAATGGTGCAGACGTGGTTGACGCTGGTCAGGAAAATTGGTCAGTAACATTTTTTCACCATGATGTACAGTCATACTACAGTATCTGAAAACAGAAGCCCATTGACAAGAATGTTCTTTCACAAAGTGTCTCATATGGCTTTCATACTTGGCTTTTCAACTTTGTTGAAAGTGTATTTCTTAAAATATTTTGAACTGTCACAAAGTATGACTGATATTTCAAAAATAATCTTTAAAAAAAACTCAAGCAATTTTAGATTCATGGATGTAGCTTCCCTAAATACTACCTACACCATGTTGTGTAGGCCAAAAAAAAAGTTTTTCACAAGTCCACTTCACAACTTTCACAAGTCCTTAAGGGCTTTTAGTCTAAATGTTGTAATCGTTTTTCATCTACATTGTATGTAGGTTGAGTTCAGGTAAGGTGAAACCTTAGGCATTACTTAAATGAATAATCTAAAATGTCAAGCATCATGTAATTTCCTCTTCTTTGGTTTTAAACTGAGTAGGTAATGACTCAACAGTGATTTGTGTGACAGGGGGTTGGATCCTCTTTAAGCAGATACAGTTCCAACAAGCCATCTTGTTGGAACAGGAACTTCCCCAAACCATTGCCGCAAAGTAGCAGTAGTCTAGAATGTCATTGTATGGTATTGCAATAAGATAGCCCTTACTAGAATTAAGGGGCTGACCCAAAACCATGGAAAACATCGCCAGACCATTATTTCTCACAAACCAACCTTTACAATTAGCACTATTTGGCATCCGCCAAACCACATAACCTCTGCTTCAGTGTTCAGTGGCGAGCAATGCTTGGCATTGTGCATGATGATAGGCTTGTATGTGCCTGCTTGGTAACTGCGGTTACCACAGAATCCCAATCCATAAAGCTCCTAAGGAATAACAAATGAACAGCACAGTTCTTGTGCTGAAGTTGCCTCCAGAAGCAGTGTGGAAGTCTGCAGTGAGTGTTGCAACTGAGGACAGATGATTTGAAAAACCTACCTCAGCTGATCTGTTGTTGCTGCTAGATGTTTCCACTTCACCAAAACAGCACTTACAGTTGACCAGGGCAGCTCTAGCAAGGCAAAAATTAGATGAACTAGCTGGCATTCTATGACAGGGTTATGGCATAAGTCACTGCGCTTTGTGACCTACTGCAAATGTAGCTTTATTCTTGATTTTATGTACACTATAGCATTGGAAGTTGCTAATATAGCCTAATCACTTAATTAGCAGGGTGTCTACATAATTTTGACAATGTAGTGTATATCAGCATAGAAATGCAGATTAGCACTAATTTAAATGAAAGTGACATCCCTCAAGCTGCAGATGAGTGGTTTTGATGGACTATTCAAATGGCACAAATTCACAAGGGGATGTTTTTTAATTACTTGGGATAGTCTTGAGGAATAGTGGGTTGGTTGCTGAAAAAAGTACCCAGTAACCTATATTATTCACCACATTCTTCGTTACTGGAGTATTTGGCTAAAATATGTATAGCAACATGCAGATCAGAGTGAATTTGAACAATTTGAGAAAAGCTTCTATGACAATGGGCAAACAAAAAGTCTCTATTTAAAACAAGCCTCTTTAATGAATGTTTTATATGAGTTTGTGTTTTAATATTGACATATAATGCATTAGATATCATGACTATGACAGTTTTGCATATAATGTGCTGTATGTAGGCTAAAGCCCCCAGTATCTCACTCTACTGATCTACACCTTCATGAAAACTCACTCTACTAATCTACACCTTTATAAGAACTCAATCTACTGAACTACACCTTTATAGAAACTCTACTGATCTACACCTTCATAAGAACTAACTCTATTGATCTACACCTCTATAAGAACTCACTCTATTGATTTACACCTCTATAAGAACTCACTCTATTGATCTACACCTTTAACTGAATTCCCTCTATCCCTATACACCTTTATAAGAACTCACTCTATTGATCTACACCTTTAACTGAATTCCCTCTATCCCTATACACCTTTATAGGAACTCACGCTACTGATCTACACATTTACAAAAACTCACGCTACTCATCTACACCTTTACCTTAACTCACTTCTTTCACTCCATTCCCTTGTTTGTCTGTGTTCTCAGGGCGGCACCCACTCTCGCCACTGCCCTTCACATTAAAAGCTGAAATAAAGTTTCCCTTAACACTAACATGGGATGTAAACGGGTGCGCGCACTTTTTTCTCCAGGCGACGACGCGCGCGCCCCCGTGCAGCCCCGCCAGCTCCGGGCGCTTCTGTACCGGAGGCGCGAGACCTGGAGCTGGCCGCCAGCAGCAGCCACGTAGCGAGGAGAGGAGACGGCGTTAACGAGCGCGAGAGAACGGCAGTGACTTCCCGTTCATCGCCGGTACTGTAGGCGCGCGAGCGGCTCCGGACTGCGACCATGTGTAATCGGGAGACGCCTCGTCTGTCTGCAGCCAGAGAGAGTTAGAAAATAAGAGGAGGCTATTCCTCCACGTCTGTGGATCTTTGACTCGCTCGCGACTTGAAGTGCACGCGATGAGAAAGAGGGCGCTCGCGCTACGGGTGAGTAGTGCAACGACGAGAAGAACGGACGGGGCAGCTCGCCACAAGTTAATTTCTGCGTTTTTGCATTTTTCTTATTCATTTACGAAGATGGCAAGCGCTCGCGTCCGGGAAATCCTCACCCGAGCAGCCGTGCAGGTAGGACGCTGTCACGGACGATGTGTTATTTTTAGACTCCCTTTTTCACGGGGCGAATTGCATTTGGTAGGTTTTTGTTTGCAAAGAGGAGGAGGATTCCTAAAAATGTTCCTGCTCGCATGCAAAAAAATACTTATTTGTTCGAGGTCCAGTATTACAGGAGGTTAGTAGCTGCACTTGACCCTTTGCTGCTGTTGCGGGCGAATTTCAGAAGCCGAGGGGGAGAAATCTCAGGAGCAACGTGTTGGAAATTAAATCTGGGCGGTTTTTGCGGGGTTAAAAGGAGAGAAAGTGGTGCTCAGACGAGGTTACGCTAAATTTATGTGTGTAATTCTCCATAACGGAACGCAGTTCGCAGTGTAAATGGGTCGTACCCGAGGGGCGCCTAAACGAAAAAAGTAGGTAGACCCAGCAAAGCTCATGTTGGGTTTGATATTTTGTTAGCTAGCCGATTGCTAATAGGCACGCAGCTGTATTCCTGCAGCCTCTGAAGCAGCACTAGCTCTCCTGCTAACTGACTAAGCTA